TGTACGTTGGATGTGTCTGAAGCCTTAGAAGATTTGGAAAGTGAGTGGTCAAGTAAGGACCCTCGTGAATCTTGGGTGGCACTAAGGAAAGGTCCTAGAGGGGAACACTCCGTTGTGGAAGTTGATGTAGGAGGCCGCAAATGTGGTGCCTTCATAGACATCGGCTCCACGCGGAACTACATAAGTCGCGACTGTTTGGAAAGGCTGCACCTAAAGGACCGGGTACAACACCTTAGTAGACCCATAGCATCTACTTTGGCCAATAAGGAGCGCATGATTGTCACAGACTATATCAAGGATGTAGTCTGCACCTTCTCCTATGGAGGAGGGGAACTTAATCACAAGATTTCGTTTCTAGTTAGCGACGACTTACCGTTTGATATGTTGTTGGGAATGTACTACCTTGAGGTTGCCAAGCCCCAGTTTGACTGGGCCAAGAAAGTGCTGAAGCATAAGTTGCCTGATGGAAGAATAGTTAGACTGACTAAGTTCAAAGCTAGTAGTATAATGGATACCTATGGTTGCTTGTGTGCATCAGCATTCTATAACTATTATAAACAGAACCAAGAGGAGGGTATGTAGCTAGTGTATGTCTTTGAGAAAGGGGCGGCCGTTAAAACACCCCCAGAGATAGAACACGTCGTTGCTAAGTTCCCTGATCTGTTCACGGAACCTACAGGAGTCGTAGAAAGGGAGGTTGTCCACGCCATAGAAATCATTCCAGGGAGCAAAACCCCAAAGGGAAGGATCTATAGGATGGCTCCGGCCGAGTTGGATGAACTTCGGCGACAACTGAAAGAGCTGACAGAGAAGGGATGGATCCGGCCGAGTACTTCCCCCTACGGATCTCCAGTGCTATTTGTACCGAAGAAGGGGGGTACATTGAGGATGTGCATTGATTATAGAGGCCTCAATGCCATCACAGTAAAGAACGCAGAGCCTCTACCTCGCATAGACGACCTATTGGATAGGGTGCAGGGATGTAAGTACTATAGTAAGATAGAGTTAAAATCCGGCTACCATCAGATCGCAATAAGACCTGAGGATCAGCACAAGACTGCTTTTCAGACTAGATACGGTCTGTATGAGTTTGTAGTGATGCCCTTTGGCCTTTGCAATGCGCCGGGTACATTCCAGCACGCCATGAATAGGATCTTCCATGACCACCTAGATAAGTTTGTCGTTGTATACTTAGACGATATTCTTATTTTTAGTAAGTCTGTCGAGGATCATGCACAACACGTTGAGACTGTACTTTCACTCCTGCGACAACACAAGTATAAGGTCAACCTAGAGAAGTGTGAGTTCGGACGTACTAAGATCTTATACTTGGGTCATGAAGTATCCGCGGAACGTATTAGGCCGGAAGATGCGAAGGTGGCTAGTATCAGGGACTGGCCACGACCTCAGACCGTTACTGAGGTCAGATCTTTCTAAGGAATGTGCGGCTACTATAGAAACTTCGTGAAGAACTATTCTAGAGTCGCCTCTCCTTTGACTGATCTAACTCGACTTGACACGCCGTGGGACTGGAGTGATGAGTGCGAGGCTGCTTTCAAACGATTGAAGCATGCACTAATGAATCATGAGGTTCTCATGGTGCCCGACCCTCAGAAGCCTTTCATTGTAACCACTGACGCAAGCCAATACGACATTGGCGCAGTGCTGGCTCAGCAGGATGGGAAGAAGTTGAGACCGATTGAGTACACGAGCAAGAAAATGCCATCAAAGAAACTGGCAAAGTCCACCTACGGAAGGGAACTCTATGCTCTTTACAAAGCACTTGTCCATTGGAGGCACTTCCTGTTGGGACGGTTTTTCTACTTGAGAACTGACCATCAGACCCTCA